TTTGTCAATCCTAACAGCCAGACCTTCCCAGCAGTGCACAACCTGCACAATAATTGTGCAAGGTGGTGTAGCTGTATTTTTCACGGGTTCCCTGTTTGAAATCCTTAAGAGGTTCGTTCCCACATTTTGTTGTATCCAAACTGAAGTCATGTCAGCGATTTACATTTCTAAGAGCGCAGATATCAGCACCCTTGCAAGCTGGGACAATTAATTTCATTAAAGGTGGCAGAATAAAGGATAATCATCTCAGCTACAGCATGGTAATAACTTGGAACAAATTTTTGGATATGAGTGTAAGAAAATACTGGTTTTAATGCTTTCCCTGCAGCTTTGAATGACAATGAGATGGAGAGACTCTGAAATAGATGCATAACTTGAACTACAAGCAGCAACTGATAAGGAAACTGGGGCAGAGGGAATGACTCAGTTGGCTGTGGTGCAGCCGCAAATCCACATGGGGCTCTGGAAATGTTCATCCGTGCCAGTGATAATGCACCAACTGCAGAGATGCTTATGACAGTCAGAGAAATTTGGAGAGCAGTAATGAAAAATAACCAACGCAAAAACCACTGGGAACTTCAGAGTCAAAGGGCACAAAGGACAACGTTTTGAAAATAAAAGGAAGAAAAGGGACTGAGAGGATCCTTGATCTAAAGGCTTCTTCCTGCAGGTGTTATCTCTCCAGACACAAAAATACAAGGCTTATATCTATTCCCATAAGAACTGAACAGCATGTCAAAGAGGAAAGAAAGGGAGAGAAAACCTTCCAAGATAACATTTAATCATCATAAAAATGCATGCATAAATGTGAGAAAGAGAAAAAAAGCATGTATCTTAAAAATCAATATGCATAAGAATCTAACCAAACAGGAGAAAAATTGCAGTAATGTGTGCAGTGGCTTGGACAGAATAGGATAGATAAATATACACTGCCATCTGATCTCCTTTTGTAAGATAACTACTTTGTATTTCTTTTTTCAACTAAGTGGCCTCCAATCCTGACAGATGGCAAATCAATTCCTGCTTGTCCTGTTTTGGGGCTTCATTGAAGTATTTTCCATTCTCTTTTCTTTTCAATGGCTTTTTCCAATGTATTTTCTGTATACATAAACAGATCTTTAGGGACCCATTACAGAAAGCAGCATTGAAACTAACTTCATCCTCACATCTCATTTCACAATTCTAGTGGCAATCACGTATTGCTCCCTACAGGGAAGGGGTGACTCTTAAATCATGTTGAAGACCTTACTCAGAAAATCAGAAACCCTAACTCAGTTCCATTGCATCTCTCTCAGGGGCAGCAAAGATGGAGGCTGATACCGGACCTGTCCCTTAGCTGATTTGGCACCACCACACAAACCAAATAGTTTAGGTGTCAGGAACTCCTATGGAAACATGAGAAATGGAGAAGTGTTGTGGGTCCTTCAAACTCCAGAAACCACACTCCTGCTCTTGGAATCAGCCTAGAGGACTGTATTTCTTCACCAGCTATGCATGTACCCTAACAGTGCTCTGCCATCATGGAAATTCAGGCTTGTCTTTTCATGCTTTGCCTCAGGTTTTGGCAGCCATCACATGTGCAAGTATCTCAGCTCTGCTTAAACTGAGAGAGGCTTGAGGGTGTGGCTGGAGCACTTGGGCTGGGAGTTACTGAGTGGGGCACTCCATGGGCCATTAGCCCCTGCTGCCTCTCTGGTGACCCCCAGCCAAAGCCTTCCCCTACGTGTTGTGTCCCCCCACACATCACACTTGCTACTGGCCTGTACATGAGGATATGGTAACTGAGATGTAGCTCTGAGGACCCCCACATGTGCTAAAACTCCCAAAAAACATAGACGGGATCAAGGTGGGTGAGCTGAGCAAGCTCTTCAGTGTGTTCTGGCATACTGAGAGCAAATACAGAGAACTGCAGGACTTTCCTTCAGAGCAGATTTAACCAAAACCCTGCAAAGTAATGTACATCCCTCCTGATCTGTGTGCTGAATGGAGGGAGCTGTGGGCCCTCCCATTTCCTCAGCAGGGAGCAGCAGCGGATGGGCCATCATATACCGTGGATATACCTGTGTGTTTATTTATGCATATATTATCACTAGCCCAAATTCAACCTTGAAAAAATTCAACTGACTCTGTCTTCTGCCTAATAGCAAGCGAATGACTGTGGAGCTGGGTTATTTCAGGGCACTGAGGGTTTCCCATCTTCAAGAGGTGGTGAACTCACGGTACCTCTGCCTCTGTCCTGTCCTTGCTTTCTCTTCAAAAGCCACATGCGGAGATTCAGAGACACAAAAGGTTGACTGCGTTTTCAGCACTATTTAGGTGAGTAATGCTGCAGGCAGGTACCTAGTGGGGTGTGCAGGAGCATTTCTTCAGTGTTCATTCCTCCACGCACTTGGCTCTCGTGGTCACAAAAGGCAAGTGTCAGGGCTCTGAGGCACTCATAGTCTATAACAACCCTGAGCAGCCCCACCAGCCCTGAGAACCCATCTGAACTACGCTCCTCTGCCACCTGGCACGACCTGCTGCAAGCCCAGGTTGCAAACACATTGAAAAAAAAATAGAGCTGAGGAGACAAAGGTGGTCAAAAGCTGTAGGGTGACCCTGCCAGACGGTTTTGGGCAGGGGACACCCCAGACATCACCTCTCTGCACCTGGTGCTTTTCAGAGGGCAGAGCTCCCTTTGTTCCAGCTCTCATATACCTTATTTCTAGGCAGGCAGCATCTCCTTGGTCACCCTTGACCTAGGTCTGCTTCTCTGACTTGGGTGTTGTGCACAACCTAATGGAAGCATTTATGATGAAATCCCTTCCTTTGGGACAGGTTTGATTTGTTTTTTACCTCCCATTAACTTCATTTATGCACTTACTAAGATTAAAAGGCAACATCAAGAGCTCCTCTGCTCCTGTACCAAGACAGCTTTAGGTCTTAATGTGTCAGGGACTTGGAAGTAATATAAAATCTGCTTGGCAAAAGGCAGGATTTGCTATCTGATTTGAATGGGAAGAAAAAAATTTCACACCGGTCTGGGGAGGAGCCAGTGGGGCGGGTTCACCTTCCCAGCTGGCCTCCAAATCTAAGTATGCAAATCCCTCATTTCTCTGACCAGACTGCATATTTTAAAAGCTTTGGGGGCTTTTTTTCTTCGGTTGGTTTAAGAGCTTGACTAACGTGTAAGGTACAGCTCAAAGCAGCTCTGTGTTACACACAGAGTTATCTCGCCACTGTTTCCACAGGCTAAAATGAAAGAAAATAACACAGCTGATTACAGGCTTGAGCTACATGCTTTGCAGGTTTACATGCCTGGGAGCAGCTTGGGATCTATCTCTGTACTTTATAAGTGCTGCTGTTTTGCTTTGTGTTTTGCAATAGATATAAAGCAGAAGCCATTCCAGAGACCTCTCTGCTAGGAAGGCTTTTCTTGCCTATTATTAGCACTCTGCTTTTGCAGCAAGCGCTCATGAGCCAATATGCAGAGTTTTAGAGGACTTCAAAGTGTCATTGGGAACCAAGTGATATGTGTGTTAAAAAGGGTTTAATGGAGCTGCAGTCGCTGTAGCAGTGTCTTTTTATAGCAAGTTTTTACAGCGTTAAGAAAAACATCCTGCAGATTTCAGTAGGATTGGCATATGGATAAGGTACTTTGCACTATGATTTTTGTTTATCTGCTCTTAGAAAAAAATATAAAGAAAACCAGCATTGCTAGCTATAGGGAGAATGATAAGCAGAAACAGTTTTGCAAAACTCAGGCAACAGCTATTACCTTCATTTTGGGTTTAATTATTTTTATATTTTAAAAGAAAGCATACATTTGAAAGCAAATGGCTTGGCTTAAGGAATGGAAATACAGAGTGATTTGTATTCACGTTGAAGATTTTGTAGTCTTTTTTTTTTCCCCAGAGCCAGTGGATTATATCATAATTAGCACAAGGCAAATCCTTCTTATCAAAGTTGAGACAAATTTTCTGGGACCATCTTTAAAAAGTCATAGTGGAGGCTCCCAAGGAAGGAAGTAGTTTGCAAAAAACACATTAAATACTGAAGCAGATCTGATCCATGTGTGATCATGTTGGTCTGCAGGAATTGGCTGGAAATTGCTGGTTTTGATACCTTCTCTAGTTTTTCTTTTTACAACACTATTTATAAGTCTCTTTTAATTATTCCTGGGAAGAATGTAGGGATACTTTATGAGACAGACTCCTCGTTGTCCTTTAGCAACCCATGTCATTGGCCTGCCCACTTCTGAAAGAGACAGACAAGGAATCAAAAGGAAAGATGGGTACCCATTGCCCACCATGAGGGAAAGATACTTGCCCAGGTTTATGCATAAAGGCAGAGGCAGACCAAGGACACAGCATTGTCCCTCCAGTGCCTCAGTCCTAAACTGCCTCCTTAAAGTCATTGTTGCATCGACAGAGTCTGGGATGTAGCTGTTTGGACTTGTTCCACCTCTGAATTCACATAATTTAAACGTGTTTTACTCTGCTTTTGCTTCAGGCTGGGGAATGACTTGTTTATGCCATGTCTGAGGGATTAAAAAAAATAGAGCCAGGGAAACCTGTAGTTGTTGTGACTGCCAAAGCAGGAACAGCACAGGATTTCTCAAGGCTCTCAGGCAGCTGGAGGCTGCAAGCGAGTGTGCTCAAAGCTGATGGGAGCAGGGGTTCAGCTCCCAGTGCTACCCTCACTCTGGCAGCCGTCTCCCATCCCTATGCCTCAGTCCCAGCAGAACTAAAGCCCTGGCAAAACCCCAGCATGGCAGCCCCGTCCCTCCTAGCCCTGCAGCTCTGTCTTGAGCAGCTTCTTTCATTTTTCAAGCTCAGTCCTCCCGAACGGAAACCTTGGTCAGAAATTTTACAGATGCAGCCAGAGAGATACTTTCTTTCTTTTCTGCGGAGGAGGGCAGAGAAGTGACGGCACAGGGGGAAGGGTTTGTAGAGTAGTTTTTTTTTTTCTTTTTCCCTTTTTGCAACACTAGTTGTTCAGGGGAGTGTCTTGTGTTATTAATGCTGAGTGGCTCTGGCAACTCCTGTGGTTCAAGGTCGTTAGTCATCCGCTGCTGCTGCAGGAGACACCGGAGCGCTGAGCCAGAGCTGTGCATCCAACCCTCTTGGTCCGCCAGGCCAGCAGGTTGGGAAGAGCTGCACATGGAGCAGCAGGGTCGTGTGGGGGTGTGGAGAGCAGCCTGGAGCCGGGGCCACAGGGGAATCCTCTCAGCGTGCCCAGGCCTGTGGGACCTGCTGGGTTTAGTGGGTGGCAGGGCCTGAGAGGAGCTGAGGGGTCGGGAGAGCACCTGTGATGTGCGAGTGTGGGATCCTCCATGCATCCCATGAGAGGGTGAACATCTCTGTCCCACCTGGGAGTCTGTCCCTGTGTTACTTACAGCTGCACAGGCACACCAGTCTTCTTCTCCTCAAGCTGTACTGATGCAGGATACTCCCTGAGAGTTAAGGGAATGCAGGTCCACTTGCACCCTTCCCGCCTGATTTCTTCCTTTTTTACTTCCTTAGGATGAAGGAGTCTAGGCAAACATTCCTTAATTTATTCTGCATCCTCTGGCTCTTGCTGCTGCTGAAGACTGCCTCTTCCTCCCCTCTACCCCGTGGAAAAGACCCACGAGCCCCTTCGCTCCCCTTTGGGCTGTACAAAGGACACACCTGTGTTGGTATGTATCCAAGTTTTGTTTGCCTGCTGAACTAATTCATTCCTTACTTCACTGGTGAGCTGAGTTGCTATTCACATCATAAATCGCTCCTTTATCTATTTCAACAGCTGTTCTGCAAAATACTTGTAGTATTTGCTGAATCAGTCACTGAAGACTTTGCAAGGTCGTCATGGGATCTGGAATTATCTTATGATTTTGTTTTTGACTGGCTGCTTCCCAAAGTTCATGTTTTCACTCTGTGGTAAATGACATCTGAAAAGTTGGCTTTAATGTCTGCAGGTCTGGGATCTGGAAATGGGATATTATGAGGTCCTAGTGTTTCTTAGGGTTCATGATGCATTTTGCTTAAGTGGCAGGAAGGCACAGTTCCCTTCAGATTTTCCCAGGGTCTCCTCATTGATTTCAGTTCCTGGAAAACTATTCTTAAGAGTGGTTGGTCCATTCTTGGGCCAGAGGTCTTTGTGGTCTGAATAGCCATCTCTGGATAGCTGGGTTGCAAAGGCTGCCTCTTCACATTTCTTTTCCTTTGGTGTGCACACATGTCTGCATGACCCATACTGAACTGGGGCAGGTTTGCAACCCTCTTTTCACATTACTTCAGTGACTGTGGTGATCCCCACAGTACCTATATGTGGGGGTAGGTATCCTACAGTCTCAGGTGGCTAAGTGATTCCCAGAGCAAGACTGGTAACACTGGAGTCAGTGTAAACTGTGGATATCTCTGCACCAGAAATGCCCTTGGCATGGCACTCCATATACCTAGGGAGATGTGGTAGCTTATATTTTTTATGTGTGCAAATGGATATGTCTTATGCATTACAATCAAATACTGTACTTTGTCATCAGCAGGACTTGTTGATCTTACAGGCTTTTTTCAGCCTAAAAATTTCTATGATTCTTTTAGCTTCCCAAGGCACCTTTATGATGGAAACATAAACTCTGTCACAGCTCTCCATCCTTCAGAAGGAAATAATTATTTCCACTGTGGCTTGGGGAATACAGTTAGAAATAATAATCCTAAACTTGACAAAAGCAGGTTTTTGCTTCACTTCTGAGCCACCCACAGTACCCCTGACACTTTTGGTAGGGCAGGGTGAATCAAAAGGAGAGCAGAGTCAGGGTGGTTGAGGGGCCACCAGCCAAAACATGAGAAAAAAGGTGAAAAGCAGAAATGGTTGTGAGGGGCTGTCCTTGTTTGGGCTGGGAGCCAAGCAAGTGGTGACCGAGCAGCTGCCAGAGCTAGGGGGAAGTGGTGTTTTTTAGTGGTGAGATCTTAAGGCAGCTACAGGCTGTTTTGATGGCACAGGAAAGGCACAGGAAAGTTTTGATGGCACAGGAAAGGCAGTGACCATGCTCATCTGTTGGAATTTTACACTGGTGGCTTTTAGATGTCAGGTTGTGAGCACTGTCTGCCCTTTCCATCCTGTTGACTCAGAAAAGTTCTAAATTCCACACATTGCACTGAGATTGCCTTGTGCAAGATAGCATGTCCCTTTTTTCCCTCCAAAAGGGAGGAGAGCTGTGCTAGCCCCATTGCTGAGACCACTGTGCATCTCTTTGTTCAGGGAGGACACATGAAAAGCACAGCCTCCCACAACTAGTTTATCTTTCTGAAGTGTCCTTTCAGCTAAAAACATCCTTGTGAGCTCAACTCAGGACCCAAACAGACTGTGCCCACCTCTGTAAACCACAAGATAAAAATGAAGTGTGGCTAGTGCCAAAAGGGCATGAGCCAGCCTGGCAGGGAGGGCTGGTGGCTGCTAGCCCAGATGGCTGCCTCTGGGCTTTCACTGATTAGCTGCTCATTCGAACAGCTCTGGAAAATACTGTGTCCCTTCCTTTCTTCAGGCAGAAGGGGAAAGCACAGAGGAATTGATGGTTGCACTTGCCACGGCTTGGAGCAGGAGTAATGTCAGCTCTTGCATCTGATTCCATGACCAGCCCTCTTAGGAGCAGATAGTAAGGCAGGATCAGCTTGTGATTTCTATCCAACAGCTTGACCCCAGATAGTTATTTGGCTTAGTTTGCCACCTGGGAAGGTAATGAGAAAGAGATATGAGTACTACTTCTGTGTCTTCTTGGCCTTATCAAGGCCAAGAAGAATCAGAGAGAATGATAGAATTGCTTGGGTTGGAGGGCACCTTAAAGATCCTGTAGTTCCATCCCCCCTGACATGGGCAGGGAAGCTTCCACTTGATCACCTTGCTCAGAGTCCCCTCCAACCAGGCAGCGATGAATAGTGGCAGCAATGGGGCATCCACAGCTTTTTTGGGTGACCTGTTCCTTCTCACTGTCACCATGAGGAATTTCTTCCTTAAATCTTATCTAATTTTTTTAATGTGAGAAATTCCTGTTGCTAAGTGCATAGATTTCCTTGAAGCATTTTTTTTCATGCAAGTTTAAATGTGTGGTCAGGTGTCTAATCTTTCAAAGTTATCTGCCTCCATTTTCTGAGGGAAATGAGGTGGCTGCACATTGAATTTCTGATCACTCCTGTGTACCACCTGCTTGATTGAGATTGCTATGTTCGTAGCCAAAGCCAGTCAGAAAGTGAATGCTCTTTCAGTAACAAAACCAAGAAAATATTTCCCATTGAGCCTTTCCACTGAGAGTGTCACACTTCTTGAAGAGGTATGTGGAAGTAATATGACAGGAGAGCAAAGTGCAGCTCTGATACCTCTGTTAAATGTGATACAACTTGGTTGCTTCCTCCTTCTGTTCCCCTTGCTTGCAGCACTCCCTGGGTAGGCACCACCATGTGCCCCAGTATATTCCAGTCCTATTGGCAAAGCATTCGGGTAATTCAAGGGACTTCCCTGCCCTTAGCAGATCCTGGGAAATGTATTTTGGGTGGGCACCTATGTGCCAATATGGAACAGGGCTGGAGGAGAGGAGGGTGTGCCTCCAGTGATGTTTAGACAGCAAAAATCACACAAAAAGTGATACATCAAAAATGATGTGACTCTCTACAGGTAGCAAAGATTTTAATCACCTTTGCTAACTGTAGAAAGAGTCACATCATTTTTTCTGTATTTTGCTGAAAAATGTGGCTGCTTCATTTAGAGAAAGGCTTTTCATAATTGACTTGACATGCAAACAAAGCAACTGGAGGGTTCCCACCTAAAAAGGGGTTTAATACTGCTGCATTTTAGAGTTACAGCAAAGAGAGGAAAAGCACCCGATAATAACCCTCCCAACCACAGGATCATGTGTAGTATACCTAAGCAATTCCTAACCATCTAAGATAACTGGTCTGTAGCAGTACCTAACCACAACCAGATAAATGGCCTTTCTTTGGCCTTGCCACGAGAAAAATTTTCCCAGCATCTGACAGTTTTTTTTCTCCATCAGTATTTCCTATCTCCTCAGGCTGCTAAAATGCCACCATTTTTGCATTCTGTGAAATCAGCTCAGGCCCTTCCTCTGGGTCTTCTGCACGCTTTGCATGTGATATGTTTTTCTGGTTTTTCCTTAGAGAGGAAAAAGGGCTTTTCTGAGTTTTTCTACATGCAGAAGCCTGTGAAGCTGTTTTCCTCCTGTAAAGGCAGTGAGGTTCTGTTCTGTGCACGGGTTTGGGAGTCTGGCTTTCCTTTCTGGGTTTGTTACTGGTGGGCAGCATGGCTTAAGGGATTTATTTGGGATGAGACCTAAAAATCCTTTTGCTGAGTGCAGCCTGACTGTTTTAGTGTGGCATCCTGAGAAAGAGATGATGTGTACTTTTCTCTCAAAAATTAGGCATGAATGAACCTTTCATGTACTCAGGTCTTTATTTTCCCGTCTTCCAAATGAGGAAAGTGCTGCCCATTTCAAAAGGCAAGCAAAGTTTTACTTAATGTTAAGATACAAAAGACAGAACAGTAACACTGGTAAACTGTTGAGACTTGTGTTAATGTTTCATCATTTTTCTACTGACTTTTAAAGCTTTTATTCAATTCCACCCTTACTTACCACAGAGCCCTTAAAGGTTTCTTGCAAATTGTTCTGCTCTCTAGAAAAGGTGACTTCATCCAGAGGTACCTGAAGCAACCTCAGGAAAGGCAGAAGCTGCCCTGGAGGATGCAGAAAGTGGGGAAGACACTAAAAGACAGATGGGAACTTGTGTATTCATCTCTCTTCAACATAGTAAGAAAGGGAATTTGGGGAATGGTAGATTAGTCAGTTAAACATCAAATCCTCGAAAAATCCTGCAACAGTTAGTAAAACTTTTTAAAAACAACTTTCAGAAGTAGTGTTAGATCAATCTAATTTTCTTTACCAATGGGATAATGCCATGTAGACATGGAATAAGAAGCAGATATTATAGCTGGGCTTTAGTAAGGCTTTTGGCACTACCTCAGCACTAATCTTAAGCTTGAGAGGTGTGTGACAGTGATTAAGCTCCTACAGGGCAGAACAAACTGATGGTTAGTCTTGTTCAGAGAGTAATTACAGGTAGCTCACTCCCTGAGCAAAAGGATGTACAAAATCAGGTCTTTCTTGGACTTCTCTTTTGAGCATACTATCATTCTATATTTTCACTAGCCAGGATAACTAGCTATTAAATTAAATCAGTTCATGTAAAGCTGAAATTGTTTGCAAGTAAAATGGAGGGCAGAATTAAATTCAAAACAAGCTTGACAACTTGGAGTACTTGCATCTGAAAAGGTAATTTCAATATGGGAATGTTGAAGGCACTCACTTCAGCAGGAATAGTCAATGACACACATAGCAGATGAGGAACAACCGGCTGGGTAGCATCCCTAAGGAAGATCATTTCGGCTTGTAGTGGCACAATGCTGTCACGAAGCAGGCACACATGGCGCACACCGAGACGTGCGAACAGAAGTCAGCTTGCAAGACATGTGAAGTAACCTGTTACCTTTCTCGGCACTGACACAGCCTCAGAGTAATTTCTGCCTTCCCTTTTGGGGCTGTGCATCAAGAATGATGCAGAGTGACAGGAGGTTCCAGAGAAAAACAAGCCTAAGCTATAAAAGAAGGGTGAATAAATTAGAGTTAAT